TTTAGGCTAACTATCAAGGTCAAGATATAATATACAAAAATAATCAGAATTACGTGAATGGTAGACTTATCAAATAAGCAAACAATAATTCGTGAAAAATACACGAGTCAAAACCAAAGGAGAAGGTAGATATTTTATTCAAAAATTCAAAATGTTTTTGTGCCACTTTGTATAATCACGCCAGTTTGACTGGAAATAGATCAATCTGTTTTGTAACTTCCATGGGTAAAACTGCGATTTCGATGTAATACCTTGGATCGATTGACTCTCTTGAAGTACAACAGCCCTAGTGTAGGCACACACTTCACTCGAGTCATTTCTGTATTCTGTGCATGCTTACGTCTCGTGAAAACAAGGCTTGAAATAAAGTCGAATCTTTTCTCGTAAGAGGACAGCTCTAACTATACGGACCCCGTTTTTTTTTCTTCCAAACAAACACTGTATTTACAYTTTCTTCTGGTTGGAGAGCAACGGACATTTTTTCTCAGTGTTTCCAAGGGTGTCCGCTTACGAGAGATTCAACTATAGCTGATGAGTCCTGATGATGCTGTAGAACAGCGAAACCATCYAACAGCAGTATCTGGCCGCATTTTCTATATTATTACTCTCCTACTGGAGGCTCTAACATGCTGCTGAAGGATAAGGTTAACTCAACCATAGCTATTATACTTCAAGCAGTTGTTAATTATCTTTTATCGGTCTGTATTTGACTATTTTTGAAGCTGATTTCAGACTTTTACTACTGATTAACCTGCTTCAATATGTTTCAAATATGATTGGCTGTCGATCTTTAAATATAGATGGAAAAGATTGATTGACAGATCCACGATTTGTTGTAGATCTAAACAGGTTGATAAATCAAGCGGCAAACCACGTGACAAACCTCGGCACTAGAGATAAATGTTCTGCTATTCAATTAAGATTCCAGTTATCTTTAAATTATTTTCTATTTTAGTGCTTTGAAACAGGGATTTTTTAGTTTAAACGATGGCAATAGACTTCTGAACCTTTTACGTAACTACTTGATTTTCAATGCATTGTGGGATCAGTTTCTAAACAAAAGAAATCCGTCTTTGTTCTGTCCCAAACATATCCTACAATGCATTGCGTATACGGTGCATGACGTAAAAGCTTCAGAGAGCTACCTGTGGGATACCTGTGTTCATAAATGAAGTCGGACCACGGAGGTAGGTCAAATGTTCCTGTCACTAGATTGTAGGTAATGAATTACGCCGTTTCTACGTCATTATGTATTGTATGCGATGATGTTGACCTCCGCTAAACAACTACCGTCTTGAAGTGTTGTTGATAGAGAGGTCGGTTATTGCTGGTTTTCAGATTACGTCACAGCAGCCATCTTGGAGGTTGTATCTATTATTCATACCTCCAATGTGCTTTTGTTGTTTGAATCTCATGGGAATGGTTGAAAAYCAGCAATTGTCCCATCAGTATGATACGAGCTGCGTAAATTAAGTGAGCAAATGACGGAAGGATTTCCCTGGAGATAGATGCTAGTGAACTTCGACGATAGGGTTACATGTAGATATATTATATATATATGTATAATGATGAATGATATTTTCCTATTTTAATTGAAAATCACAAATAAACGTGACTCAATAACAGAAAACWTATATTTATTGTCGTTGATCGAACTTCAAGACAAATACAACYGGCCAGGTGCCGGGATCCAAATCTACTATCTGCAGACCAGGCTTTGAAAGAGAGAGGAACTAGTTTCCTATCTTTTTACCTGTCATAATGTACCCCTGCGTGTTTTGCCTTGCTGTTTTACCTGTTCTTCTGCAAAGATTGTGTTATAGATATTGTACATGTTGGGTCTATGGTGACATGTTCTTGTTTTGTTCAACTCGAAATGCGCGTAAGGTCGAATTGGACGATGAGGTGGAAGGGGATTCCTAATGACATCAAATCTTCGTTTTGTAACTTCCATGGGTAAAACTTCGATTTCATTATGATACCTTGGATCGATTGACTTTCTCAGTTCTTGCAGTACGTGTGGCCAGTTCGCATGCCAATGTATGTTTCTAGGATATGGTCTATGTTTAGTMCCATGGCCCATAATCAATAGATTATAAAGAACATGCCCCTGGAATTTAATATCTGCTTCAAGTATGAGATATTTTTGACTTTCTTGCCAGTTGACGTGTTCATATGTCACGTGATATGGCAATAATTGTATTATTGCATCTCGATGGAATGCATTAAAAGCGCCGTCAAAGTTCGAGTATGATACGTACGGAAAGGGGGCCATTCCCTGGCTGGCGCAAAAAGCCTGCCAAATATCGGGTATGTATTGCGATATACARAATTCACGACGTTCAAAGCAGAAGTTAATTAAACCAACAGCAGGTTTAAAATCCAATAARAACCTTTCAAACTCTCYATACGGGTTATTGCCYCTTCGTTGCCTATTATGGCGATGTTGGAGGTATTTATGAGTTACATCATTTATCAGACGAGTGTTTAGTGTTTTATATCGCTTATGGTACACTTGATAAGGCTCWGTATGGTACAACATGACGTCATCATCCATAAATATGTAATATAAGTATTTATCGACCCCGTGACGTAATATGTATGAATATAAGAGGTTTCTACCTGTAGACCAGGTTGTGTTTTTTGTTGTGTAGATATACTTGACGTTATTATAGTGTTTAGCATTAACACAAGGAAATTTCCAACTCAAAACCAGAACATCATATGAATTCCTACTTGAGCCCAGTTGGTCAGCATGTAAAAGTTGTTGTGGAATACAACTCTCTGTCTGTGTGACGTACAAAAACTCTTTTTTCTCGTTTTTCGTGGTTGAAGTTTCCAATTCTTTGTCTTTATTCCAAAGTTTTGGCAGCAGTTTAAGCTCGCTSTTGCCATGGTGGCCAAAGGAGAAAGTCACTAAAGAACGGTCGTAGTCCACACATCTTGAACACCAGTMAAAACGAATCAAAAWCAMACCCAGTATGAACAGCAAAATCGTGTAGTACAAGCGATGATGACCCATGCTTTATAACTGTAACGATTATTTAAAAAGCACTTAAACGTGCATTTTTTTTTTGATTTAGTATTATACAATAATAATTACAACTTACAAGTCACATTCACCTGTAAAAATTCAGTTCCGAAATACCGTAACATACCGTATTTTCAACATCTGAACCATATCAATATCAACTACTGGGACTTACCAACCGAGATTCTTTCTTTTGTTGTTCTTCCTCGTGTTTCACAAATGCTGCGCCCACGTTACAGGTGATYGTTATCAGCGGTCTTGAAGTGGCAGGTGATACATGGAATAAGCTGGTTGTTTTCACTAAGTTGTTTACAAAAACACAAAAAACGTTTTTTGACCAGCACGGCACCTGATTGGTCCTTGTTGAACACTAAAACAATGCATCATTGAATAAAAGCGTCAGGGAATCGACTTGAAAATAACAAGCTAACTAGTTAGGCCTGCTAACTAAAGTGGAAAGTGCTAAGGATATTGAATGATGATGGGCTACTTTCCTTGATGTTGCACTTTCAGTTGATATTGTTATAAAAATTGTAATGGCGAAAGAGTCATCAAATTATTCTTTTTTTTTGTGATAGCAAATCGAGTTTACTTTGAAGATTCTTTCTTTCTTATTGTCATTAATTATTTATTTCACTTAATTGCATTCTTTATAATCCAATACTAAATTGTCACGTGAGTCCGCTTTTGAATCAAGGCTTGTTTGCCGCTATGAAATTGCTTATTGATGTTGTGGCTGAAAATCATAAATATCTAAACAGTGGATTAATAATGATTCCTCTAAAACCATCTTGCTGGAAAGACTGCTTCTATTTCTTAGCTCGTAAAGGTTTCTCATGATTTTAGCGAGCAATAAGATTTTCTTAAAATGAAACAGATAAATGTTGAATCATAAACACCCGCCTGGTTTTAAAAAGTTTAATTGTTTTCTTTGCAGCGAGAATCATTAGCTCGTTTTTGAGAGCCTTTTACCGTCATTATTGAGACAGAGAATCTGTTAAGTATGATAATTATTTAGTCTGAATGATCCATTTACACGTTTGRAGGCAAAGGCTTTAGAATGGTAAAAATTTATTTAGATACACCCCATTGGTTAATTCAATTTGTTAAATCCTATATAACACAGGTGCAGGCGTACATTAACATTAAGGTAATACTGCAGGGGTTTTAAGAGATGACACGATCCGTAGACTGTTTAGTTTTTCTTTTCGTGTATCATACTGTTGCTGGCGATATCGTCCAAGTTTATTCACCAAGAAAGATTTCAGGCAGAGACTTCATGTATGGGAGTTTTCTGAATCGTATAAAAGGCTCGATATTGGTGAGGAACGGTGCACTGTTACAGCAATTAACCGTCCAAAATGACGTTCAATGCGTTATGAGATGTATAAAACACCCCTCGTGCTTGTCAGTGAACTACATTATTGACAACAAGGCTAATGACAAACTCTGYGAKCTGTTGAACTGGGGAGCTTCTGGCTATCAAAGGCTKTTAGTCCCAAAGAAAAATGCCGTGCATATTCGACAGGAGGTATGATTATAACACACGATATCGCTAATAAAAGGATGACTTCATGTAAAATGCTAAAATATCAAAATATAAAATCAGCTTTTAAAATAGTTAAACTTCAAGAAGTTACTGTATCAGCATACTCGTTCCGAACGACAGATTACACCTGGGTTCCCGAGGATGTAGTATCAGTTTCTAAGCATAATTGGACTACTCGAGATTCATTAGAAACCAGCGGGGAGTTCCAAATACCACCACGTCATCTGCATTCAACCAGATTCAATCAATATAATTCAATCGTATAGTTTTTGTTACCGTTCAAAATGAGACAAATTTAAACAATTTTGCATGATTTTCCTCATTTTCCCCACAGCCCGCACCCTAATTGTTTAAAGGAATTGCCGTGCACTATTTTAAATCTTTAATCTACTCTTCAGGAAGAAGACCGCTTTCTAAAATTATCATCATAATACAGGGTCCAGAATACGTCACAAAACGTAAATATGACGGTATAGTTCACAGGTTATCTATCGCGGAGGAGCAAAARATAAGCTCTAAACAAATCTTCACATACTGCATCTGTAGTCAGATATTATTATATTTTTAATGTTTTGGCAATAAATAGAAAGGATATCTACCATGTGACCCGGGCTCTGAATACGCCCAATCATGTAATCTTCGTTAGCTCGCACACATCGAACCATGTCATGCCATGTCCCAGTAGCTCGGATGCAAKTTGGYCGTCCTATCATGACATATGTTTATGTTTATGCAGACAGTTTGTGAGACGAATCCATGTGGTCCAATCTACGAGTGCATACCTCACATTGGAAGTCTTAACTATACGTGTGTGTGCTCTACATACACCGATGGTCTAAATAGCTGTAGTAAAGGTATCTCATGATAGAATGGTGGATGGATTGATTAATCGATGAACGATATATTAAAGATTGACTGATTGACTGATCAATCACGTCGATGGATCGATTAATGGATTGATGGATCGATTGATGGATGGATTGATGGATGGATTGATGGATTGATTGATGGATTGATAGATCGATTGATTGATGGATTGATAGATTGATTGATGGATCGATTGATGGATTGATTGATGGATTGATTGATGGATTGATGGATCGATTGATGGATGGATTGATAGATTGATTGATTGATGGATCGATTGATGGATTGATGGATTGATGGATGCATTGATAGATTGATTGATTGTCGCTAATGGCGCCTTTTTGTCGCATGCAATTAGCCTGCGTAGCGGCCCTAAAGGGATTGGGGAGGCTAAAGGGATTGGGGAGGCTAAAGGGATTGGGGAGGCTAAAGGGATTGGGGAGCGCCTATGCAGCCTACATGCAATTTATTTAATCAAAAGCGGGAAAATCAATAATTAACGACAATTAATTGCATGTTTTCAGATGACACGTTCTGCCATCCACTCGGCATGGAAAACAAACAGATTCTCGATTCTCAACTATCGGCCAGTGGTATTTACGACTCTAATTTCCAACCATGGAATGCACGGTTGAATATAGGACCACGAGCATGGATTCCGAATCCCGTTGCTAACTCATGGCTGCAAATAGATTTGAAGAAACCAACCATGTTATATGGTATCGCTACCCAAGGAAGGCAGATTATGCCAACTGAAGTATTTTATACTTACCAGCTGTCAACCTTTAAGGACGGTGGTGTGTGGAGCGTGTACAGGGAGAAAGGAATACCAAAGGTATATACAGTAAAAACACACGATTAAGAACCTGTTAGCCTAAAATTCGGATTATTACATCCTACAAACAACAACCTATCTTTAGCCTAAAACGGAAATTAGCTTCTAAATTTTTAAATCATATTAGTCATAATACAGCTGCAGAGCAAAGGTCCCATTTGAAGAAAAAGCAAATTGTCATTACTGTAAAATGAGTTATTTTTATGGATATTTTTGGTGGGGGAGGGGAGGGGGMGGGGTCGACTTTAGAGAAGCAAAATTTAGAGGAAAAAAAACAGCTACAAACGTTCACCAGTGTTGACAAATTTCAAGGTCAAGGTCAAGGTCAATCTTTTTTTTACAGACCTTCACAGGGAATGAAGTTAATCGTAATCATGACATTGTCCGCCACAAGCTGAATGAGCCTCTAGTGGTACTCAAAGTACGCTTTCTTCCCAAATCCTGGAACGGRCCATGGCCGGGAGTACGAATGGAGCTGTATGGTTGTAACTGAATTGAATGAACAATTATATAGGGGATATTCCATGGGCGCGCGGAGATACGGATTTTATCTTCGAGTGTTCCATTGATATCATCTCGCGAGTGAGCGAAGCTTATTATATAAACGCAATAAATAGGTAGCCTGCGTAGCTAGGCGTTCCTAGCCGCTCCGAGAGTTTGGGAAAGAGAAAGGGTTTCTCCGGCCTAAACTCTCTCGGAGCGGCTAGGRACGCCTGGCTACGCAGTCTAGAAATAGGATTATACTTTATCCTTCTGAACGAGTATAAAATATTTAATAGCTAAACTTCATTCTCACAATAACCACAGGACAACATATAGGTGGTGGGCATCTCATTTATTCGTGCATGTCTCATAGAGCAATACAGAGATATGATATCATTTACAAAGCAGTGTATATTCATGCCATGTGGTGTACAGCCAGGAAGAATATGAACTGCGGAAGTTTTTATACACCAATTATAAACTTCTTACTTGAAAATATAAAACTTGAAATTTGCTCTCAGAGTATCGGTATACTATGCGAGATACCGTCGAATGACTAATTCTTCACATTTGTGTACTATATATACTCTGCATGGGAAATCACCCTAGGGAACTCTCATACCTTATCAACCTGCACGCTTATATTCAATACTCGATTGATTACCATAATGCTATTAAATACATCACTTTTGTACGGAGTATACATGGTAACGTGTAACAGTGTAAAATAGTGAAAATAACCCTATACTGGCAACTGTCTGATTTTCCGTAACCCGTTAGTGTCAGGCACGGGGCTGACCAGACAGCTGTATAACTAATTGTCGCGAAGCCATAGAGCTTAAATAAGAGGCATATATACAGATGCTTGAGGTCATGTTTATGATAATTGGCGGTAAATTGTTCCAGTCGTTAATCAAAAAATAGATATGTAACAAATTGGAAATTCTCTGAGCTGAAGGAGCTAAAAACCTCAACAACCCTTCCTTTCCTATGTCTCCTCCCACGAAGCAAAATGGTTGTTCCCTGAATGAATGGGCTACCTTTGTATTTGATTAACGCTGACTGCATCTGCTTATTGGCTCAAAAACCAAAATGGCGGACGAAGAAGAAGAATCTGGCTATCGATGGTTGAATCAATATGAAAAAACCTGGTACGTTAATAATACTGAAGCAGTCATTTGGGTAACTAGTCTAGAAAATTGTGCGCCAAATATACGAAAAGTATTGTCAAATTGCTGTCGGCTTAAAAAATTTTTGCTCCACGTGAATATCTTACGTCTTTTTTTCAGATTTTTAACTTTTTGTGACATGTCTTTTATTCTTAACACCGAGGCAGCTCACAATAGCTTACCAAGCTACACCGTTTGAAAAAAACCACTCAGTTTATGTGCCCATTCATTACAGCTAGAAGATCAAATACACAGAAAATGATGTTGCATAATTTGGACAGCGAGTCCAAACTTGGGTGGGGGTGTGCCGCTGGGACGTCAAAACCCTGATCCTGTTCCAGAGTGAAATCGCTGAAAACTATANATTTGCATTATGGCGTCATTTATTACAACTACCAGAATGCTTTGCCAACTTTCTTTTGTAATGCAATTAGTGCCAATTGTTTTATTAATCTCCAAGGGGATTACATGCAAAAATCTGAATAACAATGAAAATGCACAAGGCTCTCTGGTAGTTGTTGTAAAGTGRTATATTTTGATGGGAATTTAAATAATTAATTTGACCAAGCCTCATTGGTTGCTGGTTGTCATGGTTTCCTTTTCGCCTTACTTGGGCACGTGACTTTGCCCTGCATCGTGTTATAGTTCTGTCACAGCTTAGGATGATTAGAGTTTATTATTTATTTTTATTGATGTGATTGTTGATAAATGAAAAAAGTTATTTAAGAATAAACCTCAACATCTCAACATGATAGAGTCAATAACGTGTTCAGTGTAATCATTTAATAGTAAATTCAGTCCATAATGAAAAAGATAAGAAATCGATAAGAATCAAAAAGAATCGATAATCACAGCAAAGCTGAATATCGATTTTTATCGATTTCCAATAATAATCATTGATTAGTAATGATTAGTGTCAATTAGTATCGATTAATAGATTTCATCAATTAGCTACGCTGGGATATAAGGATATAACTTAAGGACTATGGTCATAATATTGTTGTGCAAATTACTTGATAAACTATTAGTGTTTATGTACTGTTCTTTATCCAGGGAAGCAATCAGGGAAGATGAGGAAGGCTCCTTACAGTCCTTGGTTGATGATCTTGCACATAGAAATAAAAGAAAAAGGTTTGATAAAGAGATTTTTGCATCTACTACTTTAATAAAACTTGTAGTTATTGTCAAATTAAAAGGTGTGAAATTGTTTAGGGCCTTCTTACGGACAGGAAATGTCAGGCTTGGGATGGTAAGATATAAATTATTACTTGTGTTTCTTTAAATGAAATTTATTGTATCACCCGCTGCACTTTGCATAGCTATCATAATTCCATGTTAACTATTGCCTTAAACACATATAGACTAGAACTGAGATTGTAGTATCCATATCATATAAGGCTTTTTCTTACATAGGGTAGCAGGCATTTCTAGAGGTTCAGTTTACTTCTCCACAAACAAAAGGAATGAGAGGGGGAAGAAAACCAAACTACAAAAACCTCTGCAATGGAGRTTTTCTCTTTCTTTTTCTCTTCTACTCAGAATTCCCTGTGGGTATATTGATAGTTTAATYRTCAATCAACCTTGAGTGAGTTTTTTTTTGCCCTGCCTCAACAGCACTGGGAGAATGATKGTGATGACGAGTGCAAACTGCATGTATATATGATAAAGATAACTTGGATATCTAAAGTGTTTTCATTATGAGAATATATTTTTTGTAGATGAGACACTTATTCTTGGTTATTGACATGTCTAAGTCAATGGAAGAAGCTGACTTAAAACCTACTAGAATAGCATGCACTGCCAAGGTAAAAATCAGAGCTCCACTGCCTGAGCACAGTATAACAAAACTGTACAAATTATAGCTCCACTGCCTGAGCACAGTATAACAAAACTGTACAAATTATAGCTCCACTGCCTGAGCACAGTATAACAAAACTGTACAAATTATAGCTCCACTGCCTGAGCACAGTATAACAAAACTGTACAAATTATAGCTCCACTGCCTGAGCACAGTATAACAAAACTGTACAAATTAAAGCTCCACTGCCTGAGCACAGTATAACAAA